ATGACATCATATTCATTATCAAAAAGAGTATTTTAGGATCAATCCTGAAATACAACACCATCAGTAATAGCATAATGTTCATACACCTACAAGAGAGACCAGTTAATAATGCTATTACTTAAATTTAGGCACCAACCATTAATGCTAAAGATCAAGAAGTTGAAGATTTTTACCAATTTTTAGTCTGAAATTGGTCAAACATGAAATCAAGATGCACAGATAATTACTGATTGTTGGAATGCAGAAGTTGGAAAATATGGCCTTGATGATAGAAATAACACCAGTGATTGCATGATAAAATTTTGACAGACCAATGACTTATTCATTGGAAATACTTCTTTCCAACAACATAAACAGTGACTAGACACATGAACCTTGCCAGGTTAAATACAAAGGAATTAAGTCAGCTATATCTGTGGAAAGAGATGAAGGAATAACTCAATAGCATCAGTCAGAACAAGGCCCCACGTCTACTGTGGAATAAACGATCAATAGCTCAAATGCAAATTCAAACTGAAGGTGAAGAAAATTAAATTAAGTCCATGAGAGCCAAAGTATGACCTTGAGTATATCCCAGCCACCTCAAGAATAGATTTGATACATTGAATACTAATGACCAAAGACCAGATGAGTTGCAGAATGACATCAAGGACATCATACATGAAGAAATAAGAAGGTCATTAAAAAGGCAGGAACGAAAGAAAAGACCAAAATGGATATTGGAAGAGACTCTGAAACTTGTTCCTGAACATAAAGTAACTCAAGTAAATGGAAGAAATTATAAAGTAAAGGAACTTTGTGGAAAAGACTAAGTAAAGTATTACAATGAAATGTGCAAACACCTGGAGTTAGAAAATCAAAAGAGAAGAACACCCTCAGCTTTTCTCAGACTGAAAGAAGTAAAGTAAAAATTAAAGCCTCAATTTACAATATTCAAGAATTCTATGCACAAAATACTGAATGATGTATAAGGTATTACAAAGAGATGAAAGGATTATAGAGTCACAGTACTAGGAAAAAATTGTTGATGTTCAACTATTTCATGAGTTAGCAAGGTGCACTGAAGGCACCGGCAAAAAAACAAGGCACCAGGAATTGATGGAATACCAGCTGAGATTTTTCTACAAATAGATGAAACATTGGAAATGCTCACTCATTTATGCCAAGAAATCTGGAAGACAGCTACATGGTCAACCAACTAGAAGAGCTCCATATCCATGCCCATTCCAAAGAAAGGTAATCAAACACAATGTGGAAATTATTGAATAGTATCATTAATATCACGCACAAGTAGAACAATTTTGAAGATAATTCAAAAATAGTTTCAACATTACATCAACTGGGAGCTGCCAGAAATTCAAGGTGGATTCAGAAGAGGTGAAGTGAGGAATATCATTGCTGATGTCAGATGGATCTTGGCTAAAAGAAGAGAACATCAGAAAGATGTTTACTTGTGTTTTATTGACTATGCAGAGGCATTTGACTGTGAGGATAATAACAAATTATAGATAACACTGCAAAGAATGGAAATTCCAGAACATATTATTAACTGTTCTCATGTGTAACCTGTATACAGACCCAGAGGCAGTTGTTCAACAAGAAGAAGAGGATACTGCATGGTTTAAAATCAGAAAAAGTGTGCATCAAGGTTGTTTCTTTTCACCATACTAGTGCGTAAAGCATTGCCTGCTAACCAGAAGGTTGGCGTTTCAAACCCACCAGCCATTCATCAGAAAGAAGATTGGGCAATCTATTTTTGTAGAGAGACCTCCTCAGAAACCCAAGGAAGGGTCACTATAAGTTGAATCATCTTGATGACAGTGAGTTTTATTCAATCTGTATGATGAACAAATAACCCAAGAAGCTAGACTATGTGAAGAAGAATGTGGCATCAGAATTGGAGGAAGATTCATTAACAACCTGCGATATGCAGATGACACAACCTTGCTTGCTAAAAGTGAAGAAGACTTGAATTACTTACTGATGAAGATCACAGATGACAGATTTTGACATGGATTATACCTCAATAAAGGAGTTCTGACAGCGCAGTGGGAAAGGAATTTGACTGCTAACCAGAAAGTCAATGATTCAGCTGTTCCAAAGGAGGAAGATGAAACAATCTACTTCTGTAAAAATTTACTGCCTTGGAAACCTAATGTGGGTCACTATGAGTTGGAATTGACTCAATGGCAATGGTTATACTTTGATATAAAGAAAATAAACATTCTCACAACTAGACCAATAACAACATCATGATAAATGGAGAAAAGATTGAAGTTGTCAAAAAAAACCCAAAAAACCCCTAACTGCCATCGAGTCAGTTTCAACTCATAGTGACCCCTCCTTGGGTTTCTGAGGCTGTATCTCTACAAAAGTAGATACCTCAATCTTCCTTCCAAGGAGTGGCTGGTGGGATTGGACCACCAGCCTTCTTGTTAGTAGTCAAATGCCTCAGGCATTATGCCACCAGAGCTCTTGAATGCACAATCAATGCCCATGGAAGCAGTAGTCAGGAAATCAACGTATTGCACTGGGAAAATCTGCTGCAAAAGACTTCGTTAAAGTGTTAAAAAAAAAAAAAAATGTCATTTTGAGGACTAAGGTGCACCTGACCCAAGTCTTGGTATTTTCAATCACCTTATATGCACGTGAAAATTGAAAAATGAATAAGGAAGATTTAAAAATATTGATGACTTTGACTTATGGTGTTGGTGAAGAATATTAAACATACCACGGACTGACCAAAAGACAAACAAATCTGCCTCGGAAGAAGTACAGCCAGAATACTCCTTAGAAATGAGGATGGCAAGACTTTGTCTCATGTACTTTGGATACATTATAAGCAGGAACTAGTCCCTAGGGAAGGATATCAAGCTTCGTGAAGGAGAAAGTCAGCAAAAAATAGAAAGACTCTCAATGATATGGGTTGACACAATGACTGCAACAGAAGGCTCAAACATAGCAATGATTGTGAGGATGGTGCAGAACTGGGCTGTGTTTTGTTCTGTTCTACCTAGGGTTGCTATGAGTCAGAACTGATATGATTACTCCTAATAACAACAATGGGCTAGTATAGCCAATCTGCTTTATCTGATAGGTATAATAAGTGAATTTCATTCAAATAATCCAATGAAAGGTTGATTTTCAACATTCAATAAGGCAGTAAATTATTCAGTACTTTTACTGAAGAACACAAATTTCTCATGGTTAGTTCTCTATTGAATCAGACAAGCAATTGTTAAATTTTAAAATTAATCTTTTTGACTACTTTTAACATTTGAGTCTAGTTGAGCAAAGTACAAAAGTGCTCCAGCAAATTACTTCCTAGATGAATTTTGTTTATATGTACAATGTAACTAATGTTATAACCATTGTTCCATTAATATAAAAATGGATGTTTTATGTTCCTAACAAAATAATTTTACAACAAATAGTTTTTTCTCTGATAGTAAGTTAGATATTGCTCACCAAATGGAATCTCTGTAGTGCCACTGAGAACACTACGAAGTCACATTTTAATAAAACCTTATCCTTCATTTAAAAAAAAAATTCTACTGATGGAGATAATAAAATGGAAAATTGGCAGTGTTAAAGACTTTGATTATATTCCTCAATCTCTATCATAGGATTGATTAGCTGTAGTAAACATGAACTGGTGGAAAGAACAAGATGGAAAATACTGTTTAATTCTAAAATGTTACAGTTTCCAATAGTACTCACAAATCACTGACTTTATGCTGGATTAAATTGTAATAAGTTTTATTTACTATAAGTAATAAGTACAACTAATCATTGCTTCCTAAAACAATATAACAATAAATACAAGAAATTCTTAAAAGTAATACAAATAATAAATTCCATATAAATATCTGATTGTTTTCCCATCTCTAAGCCTGAATCCACTTGATGAGACTTAGGGTTTTGTGTTTTAGAGGAAAAGAAATGGGATAAACATTAAGGATGTGATGAGGCCAAATTCCATGCACATTCCATGGTTACACACATATGCACACATATGCACACACAGAGGCATAACACACACACAACACTATGGTTTATAAAAGAAACAGAAAAAAAATTGGATAAATATTGATATAATATTGGCTAGGGAATGTCTCTGTATGCTGTAAAGCAAAAAATAATTTATTGATTTGACTACTAAAAAAAAAATTTTAAATTCTTTCCAACTCAATAAATTGGGGTAAATATTTAGAACATATATATGATGACAAATAATTATTTCTACCATAATAAAAGCTCATATAAGCCTAATAGAAATATGGACAAATATTATTATAAATTACAAATGAAAAAATGAATGAATATGGTCAATAAATATGAAATACATTCTCCCTATTCTCAATGCCTCGGAAACCCAAGGAGGGGTCGCTATGAGTCAGGGCTGACTCTACGGCACATAACAACAACAACAACATTCTCAATGTAAATTAAGACAAAAACACAATTATAGATGTAATTGGTAAAAGCTTAAAGAGAGATGATCTCCTTCACAGGTCAGAATGTAAATTGGTATAATGTTACCAGAAAGCACTTTTGTCACAAGTTTGGTTTAGATTGTAGATATGCAATTGTTTCAACTATTATGCAAAAATCATCTCACTTTTAATACAATTCAACACTCACCAACTATCTCTCTAGGCTTCTTGGCCCTCATTGTAAAAACTAATTGAAAAGGGCCAGTACCACATTATGCTATAGAATAACCCTCTCTCTTACAGCTATCAATTATAAGTTACAAGTAGAATTTCTAATAACATGTTGTTGTTGTTTTCCTTAAGTTTATTTAAAAAATAAAAAGACACAAAATCATCTAACTAGAACTTTCTGATGTTCCGTGGACCTATCAAATAGTATGAAATTTATTATGTTACATTATCGTAATGATGCTTTTGATTACTATCACCATAACATATTTCTTAATTGTCTATTAGTAAATCTAATAAAATATCAAATAACCACCACAGCAAAAGAAAACAAACCTTATAAATCTATTGAAAAGGAAGACCGTGCTACGAATTACTCGTGCTGTACGAGATTCTTCATGCTGAGACCTAGATAAATTTAAGCCATCATCCATGTGGCCTTCATGGTGCATAATAGCCTGTAAGAAAGAGAAATAATGCCATTATTTACACCTAATAATGTACCTAAAAACAGAACTCCAAAATATATGAGAAAAATGTGACAGAACTACAATGAGAAAACAAAAAGTCCATAGTTACAGTTAGAAATATAATAACCTTCCCTCAATAATAAAACAACTAGACAGAAAATCAGTAAGGATATAGAAACCAAACAGAATTGCTTGTTTGTAAGCTAAGAATATTCATACTTAAAACAGTGAATCATAACAATAAAAAGAATCCACAGATAGGTTGAGGGACTGAAAAGCTGTTGTGTGTACGTAAAAAAAAAACATGTAGAGATCCTTGTAAAAACTAGTCCTTCAATGTATTCATGTAATATTTTTTAATGAATGAATTAGTAAAGATATTGAGCTTAGCAAAACAAACAGCAGAATGTTTTCACATATCCGCATTCAGTGATTGATACAGCCTAAGTAAATTTCTGCACAAAGCATCAAAGGAGAACATTATATTACATCACATCTAGAAAGTAATGTAAGGAGAACCTACCACTTTCTACCAGATATATATGTATTCAAAAGCAGTACCATGACCTTAAATATCTTTAATAATGAAAATATAGTAAAATGAAGAAACTTATTGCTCATTTTAAGACTTTAGAAAAGAACAACAAAATAAATACAACAAAGTGAAAGGGGAACTAGTCATCTAGGAATAAAAATAAAATACTAGAAAGAAGGTATAATTGCAAAATTTTATTCTTTGAGAAGAAAAAGATAGATAAATGTCTCAAAAACCAGGTGAAAAAATATATAGCAAGAAAAAAAAAACCATAGAGAATTAGTAATAATATAAGAAAAAGATTAATACTAATATAAAACAATACTAACTACAATGCTATGGCAAAAAAAAAAAAAAAAAAAAAAGGATATCCAAAAGGAAATGAGTAGCTTCCTAAAAAATTAATATAATCAAAAGGACTGTTCTCACCAAAGTAGAAATCTGGTTAGATGAGTTTCTTTAAAGCAGGTTGGAAAAGTAAAGATCCAAGATTTGAAAGGTTCTAGGGCTAGACAGTATCCACACTTGAGCTCTAATACACCAGCAAAGAAGAGATATTCCCAATGGTGGGACTAGTCTAGACCAGGGGTCAGCAAGCTATACCTGCCTCTTATTTTTGTGAAGTCTGTGAGCTAATAATGGTTTTTATATTCGTAAACGGTTGGTGGGGGGAGAGGAGAAGAAAGACTAGTATTTCATGATACATAAAAATTGTGTGAAATTCCACTTTCAGTATCCATAAATAAAGTTCATTTCACATAAAATATATATGTAATAATTTTAAATAAAATATTAGTTAATTAAATCCAGTAGGATTTCATAAAAACTAATAATTGGCAAATTCATGGACAAAATTCCATGACTGAAACAATTATTCACATACAATGGCATGTTCACATTAAGTGGGATAAATAAAAACTAGTCAGAGATTTTTAAAATTGTTTTTATCCATATGAAATGACAACAGAAAAACAGTTTGAAATATGCAAAGAGCCAGGGAATATATATCATCCACCTGCCTTTCCTAGACCTGGTGATCTACTCCTGAAAAATTAGCCAATGAAAACCCCATGGATCATAATGGTTCGATTCTACTAAGCAAAGAGTCACCATGAGTCAAGGGCTGACTCCACAGCAGCTATGAACAAAAACATGCCTTTTTTGCAAAAACAGAAATATGAAGATACCAGTTAACTAGGAAGTATATAAAAATTAGAAGGTCCCAGACTGAGGAAGTTCTAATACATCTTGGCCACACTGAAGTCTCCCCATAAAGATTTATTATAGTAGGTATTTTTAGAAATAGCAGTAAGTTTACAGTACAGACAGAGTTCACTGGGTGATGCAAACAGTTAGCAATATGCTGTTAACATAAAGATTGGCAATTCAAACCCACCCAGCAGTGGAAGAAAGACTGATGTATACCTTCAAAGTTACCATCAAGAAAACCCAATGCAGCTGTTTTACTCTGTGAAACTGCAAGAGGTTTAGAGCTGTTGATTAAATTAACCCTTAGAAGGCCTAGAAAGCTTGCTTCATTCACTCACCTAAGAAAGACTGTAGTATCATAATCATCCTTCTCATATTATTATAAGAAAAGTAAGCTCTATGCTTGCCTAAGATGGAGAATATAGATTTCCATTTTGACTAAACTTTACTCCATGGTTAAAAACCAAAAAAAAAACCAAACTCGCTGCGGTCGAGTCAGATCCGACTCATGGTGACCCCTCCTTGGGTTTCCGAGGCAGTATCGCTACAGAAGAAGATTGCCCAGCCTTCCTTCCAAGGCAGATTTGAACTGCCAGCCTTCTGGTTAGCAGTCAAATGCCTTAGGCACTAAGTCACCAGAGCTCCCAATCCATGGTTAGGATGTAAGAAAACAGAGTAATGATTAAGAACTGTCATTTTGTTGTTGTTGTTATGTGCCGTCGAGTCAAACCCGACTCATAACGACCCCTCCTTGGGTTTCCGAGGCAGTATCACTACGGAAGTAGGATTGCCTAACCTTCCTTCCGAGGAGTGGCTGGTGGTTTGAACCGCCAGCCGTCTGGTTAGCAGGCAAGTGTCTTAGCCACTATGCTACCAGAGAACTGTCATTACTACAGTGCAAATGAAGAAAGTAGGACTAGAAGTTAGAGAAGATAAGTCCTCTAATATATCCTGGCTCTAGGGCCAATATAGGAGCAGTTGTCTCTTGGAAACAAGAAGTGGGGATAACCTGGGAAAAAATCCTTGGAGAACTGTCTGGGAAAGATATATATGAGTCATATGGGTATATCTCTTTTTTCAGAAATTCTACAGCTAAGTGCTTTTGTTGAAATATATGTATATAAATTTTACTTCCCAACAAACTTAAAATAAAATTATAGTACCAATCTAGTGAAAAGTGGAAATAATGGAAGTAGAGATGAAACAAGAGTAGGAGAATGTTGAAGAGTTTGAAGCTCAGTATAGATACACAGGGGTTCATTACATTATCTTATTAACTTTGTATATATTTGAATTGTTCCTAATAAAAAGTTAAGAACACTAAGCCTCACTCACAGGAAATAAAGAATTCACAAAGACTGACATTTAAATTTAAATTTATGATCTTAAATCAAACACCTCAAAGATAAGGGAACACTTATTTAAAAGTTGTACAGGTCTTGTGGGATTGTATATGAGGATCTCAACCCAAAACTGTGAGAAAAGTCTGGGGGTATAAATTTAAGCTAAACCTCACCAATGCAGAATCAACCTCCAACTGGCCTAAAATCAGTAATGGTCACTGTACATAGATTAAAATAATGTTGAACAATTTATGCCAGACTGTATCTATGCCTGATTAACAATTGTATGGAAAATAAAAATTTCTTCTCCACTACGGCCTTTTCTAAGATGTCTTATATTTGTAGAAATCAAATTTGCCCTTTTACTTGGTGTTATGAATTGTGTTATATGTTAAGTGCAAAAATATTAACAATATAGGACACAGCCACTGTCCTTAAAGAGCCTACAAATTAGGAAAGAGAGATATGTAAGTGAGTAAATAAAATAACATAGAAATGTACATGAAATCTAATAATAAGTTATTATTAGAGTAAGACATGCTGGGACTCGGCTTTTAGAATGTAAAATAATGAACTTTAGCAGGTGGCTGAAATTGTTAGCTACCACTTTCAAACTGTGTCAGTACATTTAATTCATATAAAGTCACTGCTACAAATTGTGGTTTCCTATAATCTTACCTTACGTTGTATTGACCCGATTCTCACAGATTTCACATCCACAGATTGGTAAGTAAGCCACAGGCCTGTATCCACATGTTGTATATAGCACACTGAATCACCGTATTTTATTTCAGAGGTGCCCATGCCATCTACTTCTTTTCTTATCAATATATCCAATTTTTCCTAAGGAAAGAGAACAACAACAACAACAAAAAAAAAACATATTACCAAACATTTGGAAATTAGCAACATATATCCAAAGATTGTAGCTATGTTCTTTGAAAAATGCACCCCTCTGGAGTCCGATGAAATAACAACAGTCAAATTTTCTGTTCCAGTTCAATTTAACATGCATTGTAAATCAAAATAGGAATCTACAAAAATTAAAAATATATATTCTTATTTACATTGGCAGAAAATTATTTTGGCCATAACATATAATTTTGTATTGCTTAACAGAAACTCCAAATCAGTGATCTTTATTAAAATTAGTAGTTTAGTATTTTTCCCAAATTATTGTTTTCATTGACTGGTAGCTGAAAGTATACATTTTGGAGAAAGAAAGACTCAGTTTTGAGTCTAAACTCTGTACTTATTACCTCTGTGATCTGGGAACAGTATAATTAAACCTTTAAAGCCTCAGTTTTATCATCTAAAAATAAATGTAATAAAAGTGCCTCTTCCATGGGATCATAAAAATGAATTAATGTATGTAAAGTTTAAGCATACTACTGGGAATAAAATAAACACTTTAATAAATTTTAATGATTTTAACCATAATAGTGACAGTGAAGATGAGGAGTAAGAGGATATTAATGGCAATGGTGAGTTTTTATGAACTAATAGAAGTGATAATTCAGTTTCCACTACTGTCATTTCAAAATTGAAGTATGTGGCATTCACTCCAAAGGGGCTACCATACCACAAACTACTATTTCTATGAAGAAGCAGGTGATCCTTTGACACAACACAATGCTTCTTACATACTCCTATTAATTTGGGAAAGGGAAAGCAAGTTAGCAAAGAGAGTGGATGCTCTCATTTACTCCTCCAGCAACTAACTCACTGAAAAATGAACAAAATCAAGCACAGACTAAAAGCTCAGCCAGGCTCTTGGCCACTGGGCCAGTAGGGTGACCAATTAGAAATTTTTTTCACAAAAATCACAATATAAAATTTAAAGTAAAAAATTAAAAAATAGATAACAAGATGGTCCAAGTTCAACAACAACAACAGTAAAATATACAAACTCTCAAGAGAAGAAAGACCAATCAAAAGCAAAACATGAAGATGAGAAAATTTCTCCTATGGAGGCCAGACTAATGCAAATAACTGGTAATTTTTAGACTATGGCACTAAATGTTTTAAAAAAGCAAAAAGCACAACGAAAACAAGCTATCAGAGATTAGGAAACAAATGGAGGAAAAATATCAGAGAGTCAACAAAGAAACTGAAAACATTAAAAAAAAAAAAAAAAAACCCTCAAAGAGAACTACTAGAAGTGAATGAATTAGAAAAAGTTAAAAAAAAAGCACTCAATAAGAGTCAAACAGATGGAAAACAGAATAAAAGAACTAGAAAACAGAGGAACTTATCAAAACTCAAGAGAAAAAAATACAAAAGAACAAACAAAAGTGAACAAACTCAAAAGGACAGATGAGATTCAAATAAGAAATCTAACATTAGAATTGTTGGAATCCTAGAGCACTATAATAACAATGAAGGCATACAAACAATTATCCAAGTGACAATTAAGGACAATTATCTAGACCCGAACAGAGAACCAAGCTTGCATATACAGGAAGCTACATGAACATTGATCAGAAGACATGAAAAGATCTGGTAAATCCTAATAAAATTTTAGAAAATCAAAGACAAGGATAGAATTCTGTAAGCAGCAGGAGACAAATGAAATATAACATACCAAGGGTCTTTCACAAGAATCAGTGTGGTTTTTTCCCAAAAAACTCTAGAGGACAAATGACAAAGGGACAACATATATAAAATACTGAACAATAAAAATAATTGGCAACTGTGGTAGTTTGGTTTGTGTGTCAACTTGGCTGTGCCTGGTTGAGAGGCTGGGAAGCTGGTGGTAGTTAATCTCCACAAGGAGACTGGCAATCAACTTCATGGTGGGATCTACCATAAGTAGTGGGTAGCTAGCTGCCTTTGGGTATGTGGTCTGCTTCTTGTGTATAAGGAGAAGCCTTTGGGTATAGTCTCTAGCCTTTGGCACACTTGGACCCTGCATGTAGCTGTGTCGTTGTTCAGTAGCCTGCTATGCTTTGCCAACTTTGGGACTTATAGTGGACTTAAGTTAATGGCCTGCCATGCAGATTGGTAACACTGAGACTGTGCCTTTTGTCTTGTAAACCTTGGGGCTTCTCAGCCTCAGCAGCCAGCAGCTGTCTGAGTGAAGAAATGCCTCTAGCTCCAGTGGGCCGGGAGCAGGAGGCAGAGCTGGACCCCAAGGTTGAGAGGCTTTCACTCAGCCCCTAGAGTTCGGCACTTTGAACTTAGACTTAAAGTCTCCAAATTGTAAGAATAAACTCCTGTTTGTTTAAGCCATTCCATTTGTGGTATATTCTTGTCAGAGCAGTACTAGGTAACCAGAACAGCAACTAAGAATTCTTTACCCAGAAAAGTTGTCATTCAAAAACAAGGGTGTCAGAGGGAGTGAGTAGTTGAACCTCTGGGCTCAGGACCATAGTCACAGGGGACATCAAGCTCACTGGCATAACATACTACACAAAACATTGTTCTACCTCCTACTTTGGTGAGTAGCAACTGGAATCTTAAAAGCTTGCAAGCAGCCATCTATATGCAATGATGGGTCTCTTCTCATCCAGAGCAAAGAAGAATGAAGAAAACCAAAGATTCATGGACAGAATTAGTCCTTGCAACTAGTACACCATGTAATCTCACATCCTATATGACTATGAGACCAGAAGCACTAGATGGTGCCTGGCTACCAATGTCAACACTCAGAGGGGGCGTTATGTAGGAGACCCTGCACAGAGAGGAGAACAATGTGGAACAAAACTCAAAAACATTTGGGAAAAAAAAAGGGGGGGGGTGGACCACGTTTGCTGGCCTGATAGAGCCTGGTGGAACCACTGAGACTATGGCCCCTAGTTGCCCTTCAGGTCTGGAATTGAACCCATACCTGTGGCTTCCAGTCAAGCAAAAGACAGGCATAGGAGATGAAAATTTACCTGAGGTAAATACACTCCTTGGAGAAAACAATCATGGGAGAAAGAAGGCTATTTATGCACAGGGAGACAGCTCAGGGGGCAGGGGTGCATGGAGGCATGGACACAGGGAAGAAGTGAGTGTCAGGAGGAAGTGGAAGGGGAGCTGTTGCTTTTGTGGTGAACTGTGGTCAATGTCATGAGACAAAGTGTATGTGAACTGCTGTATGGAAAGTGAATTTGCTCTGTAAATTTTTACCCAAATCACAATAAAAAAACAAGGGTGAAATCAAGACATTCCCAAACAAATAGAATCTCTGGAATTTGTCACTACAAGCCTACCTTAAAGAACATGAAATAAATACTTGTATCAATATAAGTAAAAGAAGAGAAATATATATAGATATACATATATATGTAAATATATATATATATATATATACACACACATATATATATGTATCTCCAAATATATGTGTTTTATATCTCCAAAACAATGCAACAACATGATCAATCAAGGAATAAACTCAATAATTAAATCCTCATAACACTACAACATCAAGTTAGTACATAAATACAAAGTAAACTTACTGAATATAGGTTGTATATTGATGTTAATGGACACACACTAACAGAAATGGGGAAGGGAGGAATATATTAGAAATAGATTTATTATGTTGAGGTTTTATGTTAACTTTGTTCATATATTAAACATTCAACTGTAAGTTCTGTAATATAATATACATGATAACCTACTAAGAAATCACCAAGCAGAAACATTCAGAAGAAAAGAAAGAATAAAGCAAAAAGGCTTATCACAAAATGACTGCCAAATATGAAGAAAAAGAGAAAAATCAGAATGAAACAACAAAAAATACAGAACACACAAATAACAGTAAAATGAATGAGGTAGACACTTCATTTTCAGTGATAACCTTAAATGTAAGTGGTCTAAATGCTACATGCACAAAGAGTATTAGAATGGATGAGAAAAACAAACAAACAAACATAATTCATCCTTTCGCTAACTACAAGAAACAAACTTCAGACATAAGGACAGAAACAAACTGAAAATAAAAGGATGGTGAAAAATATTCCATGCAACCAGTCAACAAAAAAGAGTAGGGATGGCCATACTGATATTAGATAAAATAGACTTTAAATAAAATTTATTTCAAGAGATAAAAAACGACATTACATAATAATAAAAGGGTTAATCCAGGAAGACATAACAATTATAAATACATGTATGCCCAACAGCAATGACCAAAATACATGAAACAAATACTAATATGAAAGGACAAATAGAGAACTTCACAATAATAGTAGGGAACTTCAACACATCACTTTCAATTATAAAAGAACATCTAAAAGAAGATCACTAAGGACATTGAGAACTTAAATAAAACCATAAGCCAATTAGAACTAATGAACATATATAGAACACTTCACCCAGATCAGAACAATACACATTTTTCTCCAGTGTGCATGGATCATTTTCCAGAATAGACCAATTTAAAAACATTGTAGTCATACATCTTCTCTGACCATAATCAGCAATCAAGAACAGGAAAAAAAAAAAAAGGATCACAGGTGAAATTTAAAAATTCTTAGAATCAAATGAAAATGAAAACAATATACCAAAACCTTTGGGACACAGAAATAGCAGTGTTGTTTTTAGCTGCCATCAAGTTGAATCCAAGTCATAGTGACCCTGTGCACAAGAGAATGAAACATTGCCTGGTCGCAGGCCATTCTCAAAATCCTTCCTATACTTGAATCCATCATTGCAGTCACTGTGTCAATCTTCTTTGTTGAGGGTTTTCCTCTTTTTCACTAACTCTCTACCAAGCATGGTATCCTTCTCCAGGGAATGATTCCTTCCTACCACATGACCAAAGTAGGTGAGACAAAGTCTGGCCATTCTTGCTTCCAAAGAGCATTCTGGCTGCACTTCATCCAGGACACAATTGTTCATTCTTATGGCAG